CAGCCGAGGCACCCTGAGGACTGCTTTAGGTACTCTGCTTTGGAAGTGATGTCTTCCCCTTTATCCTGCCTCCAGACACAGTGTGCAGACAATGTAGGGTCCATCACTGCCCATGGAAGAGATGGCCTGAAATGATGTGTTCCATGTCAGCACACTAGTGGCTCCAATCACTCCAGACAGTTTCCTGTGGGACTGCCCTCTTCCATCGGGTTCCTGAGCTGTTCTCTCACCTCTCACTTCTCCTCTGTCTGTGAAGAAGACCAACATTCTGGCTTCCACTGTGTTCTTTTTCTTTTTTTAAAATGGGTTGGCCAGCGATTGACCAATTGACTTAGAAAATACAAAGCACTGACTAGCCTGTCCCTAGTTTAATTAAACATGTAATTGAAACAACTTGTCTTACATCCTTGGGTAGCCTCCCTGGCAGGGACTTCCCTTCTTAGTGGCCACAGCTGCCCAGAGCTCTGGCTCTTCATTTCCTTTCCTTGTGTAATGTTCTTAGGGCACTTCATAGCTCCAACACCCATCCCCTGCTAAATCCCTTTATCAAATTCCAACCTAAAGACGACAAAGTCCTATCAGCAGACCTAACCCATTTCTGCTGCAGTGCCATGATTGGTGATGTTATTTTATTTATTAATGAATGCCAGTCATGTCATTGAACAGGAATCAGTTGGGTACCCATCTCTCAAACCTTGCCTCTTCCTCCTCCCCAGCCATTGCCCACATCAGGGGGAGCAAATGATGGATATTTTTTCCATTGGCTGGAAAATCCACCAATTACTGCACCTTATTAAGCCCCGCAATACTGTTAGAACAGTATTACTCACTGGCCTCTTTACCAAAGCAAAGCAGAGACTGGCTATATAGATAAAGCAAATCTAGATTGATGCAGCCTCATGGATTGGAGAAATCATATTAAACTGGTTGTCTGGATGTGTCCTTTGTCTCCCAAGTGTAACAATGGACCAACAGGAAATACATTTCATAGCCCTGTTGGTATGGAGCAAGCATCAACCTCATTTTATAAGCTAGATTGTCAACTCCTTGCAAAGCTATAATTAACTGTCTGTTCTTATCTTAAAATTCATTCCTCATTCCAAAACATCAAAGTACATATAACTTTAAGATGTCCGATCTGCAAACAGAGAAGGAATATTGGAGATATAGCACTACAATGGGAGATATGCTTTGGAACATATATTTCCTGTCCCTGTGTCTATTCACTTAAAGAGTTTTTCCCAATCATGTCACTCAGAAATATATCAATCACAAATCAATCAGATAAATAAATGTTATTCTTGTGTGTAAAGCAAAAGGCGCTGCACTAATATTTTTCAATTTGTTAATATTGTTTAACCAGAGCAAGCAATGGGGATGGGAAGGGGTTAAGCATTTTGCCAAATATAGTCTCTAATGTTGTGGAGCCAGTGTGAGATAAGCATGCAAAGCTAAAATGAGCTAGATAAAGACTGATGCCACTGGCAGACTAGAAAAGAACAATAGCAAACACATAGGATATTTGTACATGGAGTAAGATTACTTCAAGACTCTCAATTGATCAAAAGAACATTTGTATTTATTCCTAATGATACCATCTTGCTAGCCCTGTAGCTTTCTTTGAGCCACAACAATATTTGAGAGGTGACATTTTGTGTTAATCAAAGTAAAACCCCATGGTTCTGAGCTTAGATGGAGGTGGCCCAGGAGCCATACCACTTTTCAGATTTCCCTCCTGAGAGAAGAAAAAGAAGGAAGATCAATCTTACCTCATAAACCTCTTCTATAAGGTTGGCAGCCAGTACCAACTAATTTCAGAATTCCAGTGTAGAAAAGGCAAAAAGAAGTTTGGTGTGCGGGATGACATGCAGATCCATACCTTCTTCTGAAATGGCCCAGAACATTGACCACATGACTTCCCACAGAGAGTAAGGGCCACAGATTCCATCACTTTCAATCTTTCCAGCATAGGTTTAGCAGGATTAGGAAGTGGTACCCCTCTGCCTCAGTTTCTCCCTCTCTATTCTTGGTAAGATTATTTGGTAAGTGCCTCTGTTTTATACATTTTACATCATTAAATAATTAAATGCCCATTGTTACTTAACTTAATTCTATTCCAGTAATAAAATAGTAGTGTAACTTTGTGTGCTATACATTCTGGCTAGGGGGCAACCCTTTCTAATTCAAGCCTCTATTCTTCTTTCATTCTATAAATCAATTTAGTATCAATAATTATGGAAATATCATGATAGGTTTCAGCACAACTCTATATATCCAATTCATAACTTTCCTATCATACCTCACGGAAGGCGATCTTCAGCTCCCTCACGCCCACCATATGAGCTGTTTCTTCACGCAGTTTTGGGCTCATCAACTCTACAAAGTCCTCAAAATCTACACGTCCTCCCACTATGAGGAAAGATAACAAGAAATGATTAGTTTGTTTGATGGAAGAATCACTTTTGAATGAGGTAGGAGATGGTGTTATTAAATATATATAAACTACCTTTCTGCAAGATATTCAAATGGTTTGTGGATAACTTAAGAAGGAAAGTAATGGACTATGAACATAACTCTGAACCTAATTTACATCCTCTAAATAACATTTCATGGATATGCCTAAATCTTACGTAGTGCTCTGTTCATGCACCACATTTCTCTGTTGAGATGAACCCCACTCCCATCCTTCCGCTTCTCACAATTCCTGCACTGACTTCTGAAGCAGAGGCTTTACAAAAACTATAATCACTTATCCTCTAAAAGGTATTTATGGAAATTAAACAGAGTTTTTACAACAAGTCTACTGTACTGTTTACAGAATTATTGCAACTCAAACACTTTTGGAAACAGCACCTGGGTATGTCAGTAGATATGGTGGGGATGGGAGGAAATGGAAACAGAGCAGTATCATTTTGCATTTAGACAACTGAGGAAAAAACAACAGCTGAACAACAGCTAAGGGCCAATTATATTATTCAAATCAAAGTTGATGTTTATTGTTTTAATTGAAAACATACTAGAAAGCCAATTCTGTTCTAGAAAGTATCATTCGTACCAGACACGAACTGTGAAATGTCAAGTCATGCAATCCACTTGATATTTTTGCACATTTATACGCATGCATGCTGGATGGAGTCAAAACACATCCAGCACGTATGCAAAAAATGGTGCACATATGACCACTCAATTGACACATCATGCCTTACAATCAGAACTTCTGCAAAAGAAACTGAAACTTGAAGATTTGCTATAGGTCTTTTACAATCAGGTTGTTGTTTTTTTTCATTTTATATGCTGCTTAAAAAATTCAGAGCAGTTTTTTAACAGCTGCAGTTAAAATGATCAACTGCAAATAAAATTAGGATTATACTGGGACCATGAGAAACTACCCAATTCCAGCAGGGTTACCTCAGCAGCCTTGTCAGTGCCACGTCCTGCGACTATTATTGACTATAAGTCTTGGAAGGTGAAGAAGTTCATAAATATTCCACTCACTGCGCATTTTGATGTGCTGGGAGATCTCAATCAGCTCCATCTCTGTAGGCATGTAGCCCATGGTCCGCATGCACTCTCCCAGGTCTTTGCAGCTGAGGTAGCCGTCCTGATCTGTGTCATATTCCTTGAAGGCATCTAGCAGCTCTGCCAGGAAGACCCCAAAGACACTCTGGATGTGTAAAGCCGAGGGTCCTGCCTTGACCTTTCCCCTCACACTGGGACTCAGGAAAGGCACATGGCCCTGGGAGACCAGCATGCCCCTCGGCTCTCTTACAGCCATGGCCTTTCAGAGGCTGCCAGAAACTGAGAGGCTGGCCTTCAGGCGAACAGCACAAGTAATCTCTGTAGAGATGTACTGCCCTGCTAGCGTGTCTGTCATAATCATTCTGACAAATGAAATTGCCACACTGGCTAATTTGGACCCCTCATGACCATTTACAGTACAGTTTGCAGGACAGACAGTCAATTCTCCAGCTCTCTGTATTCTTAACTGTTCAGTGTAACAGTGTGATTAGTTCTTGGTGATGATACTATCATCTTAATAAACTCCTATGCATAAATTATCCATAAACAATTATAATTATCACTGATTCTCCTGTCTGTACTTCATTTTCTTCTAATATACATCCTTACAATCTTCCATCTTTAAACAACAACAAAAATGTTTAAAGGGAAGGCAAATGTGCTCTTTGGATAACATTTATTGATGCAAAAAAAAAAAAGGAAAAAGCAATACTTTTATGATGGTGTTTATAAAAGTATTTGGCTTTTTTTTTCCTTTTTCCTTTTTTTAAATTTTTTTTGCAACAGACACACCTGGCTATGGATCTGGAAACTTGATAATTTATGCATTTTGCCTAGCTGATGGCAATTCATAATTAGTCAGAATAAATCACAATGACTAAACTGGGTCTGCTTCATATTTTTACTTGCCCATCAAGAACTGCTTATCCTCCATTGGTCACTACCTCTCTTAAAAATGCCCATAATATTGACACACCAAACAATCTTTGATTAAATCACAAACTAGAATATTCTTTGCTCTGATGAAAATATTTATTAAGTCTCCTCCAAAATGGACACTGAAAAACAACCTAAAGTTACTAGAAGTGGGGACGGGGAACTGTGGAAGTCGTTTTACTGTATCAGCAGTGAAAAAGTGAGTACATACTTCATCTCCCCCTCATGGCCAGAATCCTAGTCCACCCCATCATCTTCCTAAAAGATTGCCCAACTCACCATCCAGTTCCAATGGGGAAAGCTCTCTCTCCTAGCAAAAGAAAAAGAAAAGGAAAAAAGGAGGAATTATTCATTTACTTGTGTATATCTCATCTTTCCTTCAAGTGGTATGATAGCACACCCCACCTTTACCACCCTAAAACCAGATGTTCCCATGCACAGAGTATAGGGGAATGTATAAAACAAGGGATGGAAAATTCATAAGGAATGTTCATTATCAGTTTCAGCTAAATAAACCAAAAATCTAACTTGCTGAAGAAGCTTTGCTGGAGCTTCTCTACCAGCAAAGAGGAATTTGCCAAAGAGACTTTATCCCTGAAAAAGCCCCCTCTGTGCCTGTGGAAAGATCGGAGGTGTTGAAATCCTCAAAACAGGATGCCAGGATCCCCCAGTCTGAAGCTGACTTGGCTAATCCTTCTTCCTGCTTTCAGTGAAGGAAAATTTCAGATAAAAAGCCCTACAAAGCTGAAAAGCCCACCAAACCAACCCAGCTATCCCTTCCCTCCTGGCTGACATGAACTGGCAGAATTTGAAATATGCTTAATGGCAGGACATTGAGAACTGCCCTGTTAACATAGTTTAAATCTGCCTTTTCATTTACTTAAATACTGTACAGTGTCATGTTTTGCTTTGTGTAGTTTCCCACTTGAGATTTCTAAAAATATGCAAGTCTGTAAAAAGTTTCAAAGTATTATGGCTTTTCCATCTTGAATGTAACATATTTATATACTCATATGTATAATGTCATTTGTTGTCCATCCAAAATTTCTATTTTAATTGAATAAATGTATTTTATAATATGGGTTTTTAATACTTTGTAAATACAGCAATATTTTCATGAATAAATTAAGTCTGTCTTGCCTACTTAATTTTTTTCCAGATACAGTTAATTCTCAAACTCACAATTATTATGCAGAACTTTATAATATAGAAAGGATCTGCTGGTACTGAAATTAATCAACATTATACATTGGCTTCTCCACAGTATACTGAGAGGAAAAAATCAGCCACATAAAAATTAAATTACATATTAAAAGGGGAAAAACATTTTTGCTGTCTCTGGAATTTGTAACATCACAAAAAGGGCTATCTTTGTAATGTTTAATATAATCTACATAAGATTAAAAAAAAATCACAAGTGAGCAGAAGTTTTCAGAGCACTTCGAAAGCATCTTAAATGAATAATAAATGAAAAAAAATCAAGAAAAACATCCAAAACAAATAGCTTCTGATCTGTTACACAGTCCAAATAGAAACTAGGTTTTTAGCA